ACCCCCCCCCCCCCCCCCCCCCACACACACACACCCCACCCCCATTATAGTTCCCAAGTCCACTACGCTACCCTAAGACTACAACGTTCTCTCTGCTCAGTACATAGTTTTGAGAAAATTGACGTCAAAAGTTTTGAATTTGGAAAAATGTCAAGCATTTATTTTAATACAATTGTTTGAATAGCTTGATAACGACCCAGAATTATCGTACGATTTTGACAGGGCAGACAGACTTTTCTTTTTTTCTTTTTCTTTTTTTTTTTGGTTTGGTTTCCGACCTCATGGTTTTCGTCACTTAAAAGGGTCCAAAATGTCAGACAGAACTTCATAATTGTAAAGTAGCGACGACCATCACTAAAGACACTTTTTCCGCTAGCAAATAACTAGCTAATCAATCAAACAAATGACCATTAGATAATAGAATGACCAGTCAACTATGGTCGGATCAAGTGTATAATCGATTTATCAATCAATCGTCTCAGTAAAAATTCATTAATTATAACCAGTTCCTTTCTACCCAATTCATCGATTAATTCATCGATTCATCAATAAGTTAAACTGTAATCACAAGTTCCAGTGAGGTCACTAAAACTGAGTTAATTTCAAATAGCATGTACATTCAAAACACTTGAAAGTTGTGGCACAAATGTATAACAAATAATCATCATACTGACACGTGTGAATATTATGGCATCTTAAAGAAAACGAAACAATACCAACATAAATTAAATACAGTTAATTATTCATTGATTAGAGGATGCTAAAACTCAAAACGACGCATATATAATTATGAGCCAATAAAGAACAACAAAGATACCAACAACAACCAAATGTTTGGGACCCCGAAGTGAATTGCTGCCCAAAAAAGTGGGGGAGGGGGAGGAGACCTGGGGGAGGGGTATTTATGGGAGGGGAGGGGGGGGGAGCAGGCGATCTGAGACAGAATAAGTGTCCACTCCTTTATTCAGTAGGACTGATCTGATTAGCCAGGATCGATCGATGAAGGAATCAGGATCGATAGGTACTCGTTCTGTCTAGCAGACTCCTGGATGTCCTTGACTCCCACTCGTCCTCTTCCTCGTCAGACTCCAGCCCATCCAAGGACAGCTTGGCTCGCCGCTCCTCCTGCTCTGTCTCCACTCTGAGGATTAAGAAGCGCAATACTGTAAACAGACAGACAGACAGACAGACAGACAGACAGACAGACAGACAGACAGACCGACAGACAGACAGACAGACAGACAT